GACCTCGCAGGGGGAACAATGGCAGCAAAAACATCACCGCCACCCTACGATAGGAGTGGCGCGGCTGGTACCGGAGCCCCAGAGGAACCCGGTACCGGTGCCCCGGAAGAACTTGGCGCCGGAGCCCCAGAGGAACTAGTACCCGACGACCGCTTGCTACAAAAAGAGCAAGGACGAAGTCAGAACAAGAAGAAGTGCTCAACAAAAGAAAGACAAGTAAACAACTCACCAATGTGTAATGAGGGGCACATCATCGTCCTCATCTTCTTCAGTCTCCAGCAAGACAGATACAGCGCCATCTGAAAAAAGAGAGAAAAGAACTTGGTCAACGGCACAAATAAATAACAGAAAGACCAAACATATTAATATGCTCACCTAGGAGCACACTACCTATAACTGGAGTACCTGGATGAGTACTCGGCTGGCGAGACTTCTTGGAAATAGGTAAACTAGATGAAGAGCCATCCGCCCGCCCCCTCTTCGAGACACTACGAGGACCTCAAGGGACTGGACGAGGAACATATTCTTCATATACATCAACAACTCCGGAAGAAACTCCAGGAAACGCTATGGTGATTTGGAACTTACTGATTACAGAAGCCCCAGCAAGATTCTCCTCGGTATTCACCACGGCAGGGAGGAAATCAAAGGGGATCGGGTCAACAAAGTTGCGCCCCAATTCCTACAAAAAAGAGTAAAACAACCAGACGAGAAAGATTAACCAAAGGTGGAGACAACAAAGGAAATTCAAAAGTACTCGAATAAAGAAAAATAACTCACAGCAGGAGGAGGGTTCTTAGCACAATACTCAACAACAGCGTGAGGAACGACGTTCACTCCTTTCAGCATCTTCCGAAGGCGCTCGAGCACCTCCTCGTCGGTCAACTCAAGGGCAGGGACCATACGAGAAGGATCCTCCATCCCAGAATACTCAAAACCAAAGTTTTCTCGCTCCTTAAGAGGTTGGACTCGACGGCGAAGAAAACTGGAAATAATACCAAGGCCGGTCAAACCTTGCTGTTTCAGAGTACTTATCCTCTCAACAAGCGGCTTGATCGCCTGGTTCTCATCCTCCGTCAAGAGTTTCTTTTCCCATCGATCGTTAACCATGGGACCAGAAGAAGAATGAACAGAAAGAGGAGGAATCATGTTGGCGGAGTAAAACCACTCGGAACGCCAATCCCTCACAGAGTCAACTAAGTCAGAATCAAAGAATTTAATTTTGAGACCCTGAAGAAACTGAATCCCACACCCACCAAGAACAAAAGTGTCATCACGGCGGGGTTGTGGTTTCAGACGAAAGAAGAAACGGAAGAGGGAAAGAGAAGGAGGAATTCCAAGAAAGGTTTCGCAAAGATGAACAAAGACAAAAAGATGAAAGACAGCATTGGGGGTAAGATGGTTCAAAGTAACCCCAAAATAATTAAGGAATCAATGGAGGAAGGCAGAAGTGGGAAGGCAGAGTCTAGCACGGACAAAGGAGACAAAGAGGACGATCTCACCAGGACCTGGAGCAGGGACCCGATGCTCGCCTGGAGGTCTCCATTCAGCAATGTCCTTGCTCTGGATCAAGCCGTCGCTGACAAGCTCGCGAAGCTAGTCTTTGGTTGTTGTTGGAGCCGGCCAAACCTTCTGGGCAGCCCTCATGGCCACGAACTCTTGGTTCTCGATCAAAGAAAGGGATGACTCCTCGTCCACGAAGGCTGCCTGGGACTTGTTCACGGCTTTCTTCCTACCCATGAACTAGCAGAAGCGAAAAGGCACTAGGGAAAGACGAGGCTAGGACGGCGGCGCTCGGGTGACGGCGACAATGGCGGCGGCGGATTTATGAAAGCTAGGGTTTCAAGGCAAGAGCAGGGAAGTAAAGAAAAAGAAGATGAAACGTCATTAAATAGATTTTATAGCGATAAAAACAGCCCACCAGGCCCGTTAAAACATGGTGTGGGAACGCAACGGTCCATTTACTGACACAGCTAAAATAACGGATGGCAAAAATCCACACAACGGTACAGTTTAACGGGCATATTTCAAACTTATCCATCCAGCACCACGGCAGAGTTATCAGATTACTACAAGAACAACCCGTCAACCATGAAGAAACGAAGGGCTACCTCACAAGGAACATAAGAACCCGGTTCTTACAGAAAGAACTCGGGAATCTCATGAACAACCAGGATTACAGCAGAAAAATGAATGACAACTCAGAAGACAAGATTCTTTCCATTACAAATGGCTTCAAAAAATAGAAGATTACACATCTTATAAGACCCAACGAACTCGGTACTACGACAATCAAGGTAGCAAAGAGGAACCCGGACATAGCTAGGCTCTAGAACGACTACGTGTCCCAAATTGCTACTTGGTAGAACAAACCGCACTCGGCTACACTGTTTTCTTCAAAGGACGGACGCAGTGCATCCAAGGCGGAAATCAGCAGCACGGCGAGACAACATAGACTAAGGGAAGTTGGCAGGCATCTGTCTACCCAAGCCCGACGTGATGCAGGATCAGGTGTTGATCTGCACTGGACAGTCGCAGGGCGGGCAAGGAAGATCAACCCAGAACTGCTGGATGAAGGAACGCATCCCACATCACAAGACTTCCTCCAACTACCACCACGTACTTCCAAGTACAATGCTACTGTGGGATTAGTCTACCTCTAATCCCTATCACAAGACTTCCTCCAGCTACGACAAGACGCACAGGAAATACAAAATACGCCCAGGGGCTGCTCTACTTCACAAACTACCATATTCATGACCACGAAGGCTTCAACAAAATGTTCAATGGATGAAAACAAGCACTCCAGGAGGGTATTTATAGATCGAAGGAGCGGCGCACATAGACTAGGAGTACCAACAAAACAAACCCAACAAAGGACACAGTGAAAAGACAGGACTCAATAATGGAGGACTCAGGCGAGAAGGAAAAGTACTCAAAGACGAGCATATTTAGAAGAATATGCCGACGCTGTACAACCCGTGAACAGGCAACATTTACTCTCAACCACCACCATACAACTACACCTGACAAACGGCAGACTACCAGAGAATACGCCAAGACAATGCATCTGAGTTCTTTTTTCAAAGAACCCAGATAAATGCTCAGAGGCTGCAACAGGGGAAGATTTCAGTTCCTCGAACAAATCAGACTCAAGACCCTTCAACTCTTTGTTCCAAATAGCAAGAGGCTTGGGGGCTATACTCAGTGAGTGCACTTTTTCTTCAAAAAAGCGCACATCACTCGAAAGGCTTTTTTCAAGACAGCAATTTTCAAACAACATAAGATTCAAGACCCTCCAGCTCCTTGTTCCTAATAGCAAGAGGCTCGGGGGCTACACTCAGTGAGTGCACTTTTTTCTTCGAAAGAGCGCATTTCACCAAGAAGACTTCTTCAAGACAAAACTACTTCAAGGACTCATGACAAAAAGAAGCCGGACTGAGCTATATACGAGTTCTTTTTGACAAAGAACCTGGGTACATGCTCAGGAACATTTCAACAAAGGATCAGAGCGATTTCAAGACAAGACCCTCCCGCTCCTTGTACCAAATAGCAAGAGGCTCGGGGGCTACACCCAAAGGGGAGTACTTTTTTCTTCAAAAAGATACACACCACGCGCAGATCTCACAGAGCGCTACATGGTTTCGCTCAAGAAAGCACCCGGACGATGCTTGTTCTTGCTCGGCAAGACCTGAAAGAACAAGATGAGGCTTCCAGAGCACAACCATGAAGTGCTCGGGGGCTTGTCAGTGCGGGACCCACAGGATACCCCACAAGGAAGAGAGAAGATCTAGTCTAACTAGGATTCTCCCCATGTAATCTTAGTATTATTATTATTTTGTAATCCTACTAGGAACTCTCATTGTAAACCAACTAGGATTCTGACCTCCTAACTATATAAAGGAGGGCAGGATCCTAGAGAGGACAACTTTTGTAACAACGCAACAACACACAAACAATACAACATAGAGGCTAACGCCGACTGGACGTAGGGCTATTACTCGATCAACGATCGAGGTCCCGAACCAGGATAAATCGACTGTCTCTTGCGTTCACCATCGAGTTCCGCATACGCTGAAGCCTGAACATACTGTCATAGGTAACCCCGTGGCAGGCTATCGGTGGTCAAACATCGACACTGTCCCACCAGGTAACTGCACTACCTAGTCATTGCACTTATGTCCTTGCCCTTGGCACACAGACTCATAGTAGATGTCCACCAATTGTAGGTAAATTCTACCTGGTAGATGCTGGGTATGCATGCCACCGTGGCTTCCTACCCCCCTATAGGGGGGCCAGGTATCACTTGACAGAGTATGGGAACAGGAACCACCCAACCAATGCAAAGGAGCTTTTCAACCTAAGGCACTCATCACTAAGGATCACTGTAGAGAGGGCTTTTGGTGCTTTGAAGAATAGGTTTTGTATCCTAGACAACAAGCCCTTCCATGCATACAAGTCAAAGGTCAAGCTTATGTTGGCCTGTTATATTCTGCACAATTGGATCTTAGGTTTTGGCATTGACCAAGTAGTGCCACCTGAGGAGGGTTTCACTGGCACCCAACCTGACCCACTTGACACCCAGCCTGAGAATGAAAGCCAGTCCCAAGAATCCAATGCCATGGCTCTTAGGAGGGATGCCATCTGCAATGCCATGTGGGAAGGGAGGGGAACATCTAGGATCTGATCATGCAATAACTATGTTCATTAATTCAGTTTGATTACACTGCTATGGCTCATGGTTGTGTAATGGTTATGTAATAATTTGTTGGACAAGGCTGAGACCAAGTTTTTTCCTTGTAAATTGGTTATTTGTTTGGTCATCTATCACTGTTACCTATTCTTTGGCCATGAAACTCAGCCATACAGTGGTAGCAGCATAGAATTATGATGCCCCTATTATATGGTTGTGTCCCATGGCCAAAGCTTATGTCATATCTGTTTCTTTGTACTAATTATGATGTTATTGTACTACTGTTTATTTGGGCAACCAATATAGGATGGCTTCAGTCCCTACTGATGTGCTTGGTGGTCATGGGGGGTTTGTGGCTGCTGCTAATGTACTGAATGGTTTTGCTGGGGGTGCTGTTGCTGCTCCTGCTACAGCTGGTGCTGGTGCTGGTGCTGCTGCAGTAGCTGGTGCTAGTGCTGCTGCTGCAGGAGCAGCTGCTGGTGCTGGGGGTGCTAGGGCCATGAGGTGGAACAACAACACCTCTGGTTTTGTTCTTAGGAGGATGGCCCATCTTGTTAGAGATGGTAGTAGGTCTGACAAGGTCTTCAAGGACAAATATGTTAACTATGTGGCCAAAGCACTTAAGGAGTACAGTGGGGAGGTAGTGAGCCCAACTCAGGTGTACAACTACTTGAGGAAATGGAGGCAGAAGTGGGCTAGGATCTCTAAGCTGAAAGACCTTAGTGGTGCTTTGTGGGATAGTGATGTCAATGCTATCATGCTTGAGGAGGAGCACTACCTAGGGCACTGCAAGGTATATCATGGTTTCGTTTCCTATTTCCACCATTGATCTATAACTTTCTATTAGTTGCCTAAAAATGTACCCCCCCCTATTGCAGGATAGTTGCCTACACCTACCTGCTGGACAACAAAGCCTAAGGCAGGGGCTTTGTTGGCATGAGTGATAGCAATAGGGACATTTGGCTTAGGAACTAACTAGCCAAGAACTACTACATCTAGTTCCACTACCTGCTAGGCTACATGGCCAATGAGGGGGTTGACTGTGTGATGTATAGTTCCTCCACCTCCCTCACCCACTCTCTCATCTTTTGACTACAGTTGAGCACACTTTCCTGTAGGTATTTTGTACAGCTTACTTAGCTGATTCACCCCTATCTTTTTGCTTTCTTTACTAGGAGGGTGGCTAACTAAATGTACTAGAGGGCACCATGGTAGGCATTTGAGCCATGAATTGTTGGGCATAACCTGTTGTTGTAAGGTACTATTTGTAGCCTCTGTTGGCTGCTATATTTGAGACCACTTCATGTTTATTCTCTTAATTCTGAACTCTTGGTTTTCATTTTGTGCTTTGGTGGCAACTGTGGGATATTGAAATGGCCTATGATGCAACCATGTACATGAGGTGGCTTCCCTTTTTACTTGGTTCTTCAAGTTTTTCATGACTGTCATCAAACCTATGTGTGTACATCCATTCCTTAGCAACAACACCTTCTATCTTATGCTGATGACAGTGAATGGATATGCACACTAGGGTTCCATGGCAGCCATGACCTTGGTTTTGCACTTGTTTGGTTCTTCTGGATTTGCACTTGCTGTTCTACTGGTTTATTATTTGTATGGCAGCCACCAATGATAGAACCAATGAAGTAGACCACCACACTCTAAAGCTGAGGCCAATGTTTTTTTATAATGCCTGTGATGTCATAGTTATTCCTCTGAACCTAATGATGTTGGTCATCAGTGAGGGACTTGAGATCAACGATTTGATTCCTCACAAACCGTAGATCTTCAAGTTCTGCACTCATGGCAAGTATCATTCATTACATTTGACTAAGGCTAAACACACTTTTCATTTGACAGAAAATGGCAGCATACTATGTGGTTTTCCACGGGAAGAATCCTGGGATTTACCTTAGTTGGCATGAGTGCAGTAAGCAAGTCCTTGGGATAAGAAATTCTATATACAAGAAGTATGGTACCTATGAGCAAGCTGTAGTAGCTTATTAGGCAGCATTGAGAGATTTCAATGCTCCGGTGCCAGCAGGGCCTCCCCCCCCCCCCCTAATCTGCCCCAAGATGCTTTCCAAGGTATTCCACCAGCTGATGGTAAGGCTGGTTATTGGAAGATTGTGTTAATCATCTCACTTGTTCTTTTGCTGTTTGGGATATGGATGGAGGTGACCAAGTTTGGACACCACTGCTGCCCCTCTTAAGAGCTGGTATTTGGTTGAAGGTGCCCCTCTTTTGCTGATGGTATTCGGCCGATGATGTCAACCTTGACAAGTTAATTAGCTAGCTCCATGTGCTGTTGTTTTTCCTAATCCATGACTGCAATATGTTGATTTCCTTTGCAAACTTTAGTTGGTGGTTCCTGTTCTCTGTTCTTACTGCCGTTTTTAGCTTCTAATTACTTGGAGCTAGCAGTGGTTGTTTCTGATGTAGTAATCAGGTCTAAGGCCTATTAGTGACATACTTAATTTATCTTAACTGCTGTTATTGCATTAGAACTCAATTACATATTCAAATGAAGCTGTGCTGATTGCTGTGATGTATTTGCATTCTTCTTCCTCCCTTTCGGCCGGGCTAAAAAATTCCCACGCCAAACACAATATCACTTTGGCAGTCGGTGGTAGTTGGGCTTTAGCCGGGCTCCCAACTGTAAACCAAACATCATCTCTACTTGGGGCGGTTCCCAGTGGTAAAGGAAACCAAACAAGGGGGTTGCTCCTCTTGGGCCGGGCCTTGGCTGGCCTGGGACAGGCCTCAAGGCCAGACCAGCCCACATACACGCTACCAAACAGACCTCTAGTGTCACTCGCTTGTTCAAGCTAGCCATCATTTGGCTGTCAGAGGACTCCATTCTCCAAATGATCTGGCAACAAAGAGAAGCGTCAGTGCATGCTTTCTTTATGGAAGTTTTCATGATTGCAGTTTGGTGTATAAGGAAGGAACGAAATGCATTCATTTTCAGCAACAAGGTGCCTTCAGTTGCAGCTTGGAAAGCTCTCTTTACAGAAGTTAAGCTTCAACTGTGCCGTGTACCTCTACACTTGCATTCTCAGATTATGGATTGGCTCTCTATGCTGTTTTTTACTCCTTTTTTGGCGCGCTGTTAGTTGCCTTTGTTTCTAGGTAGTTCCCTGTTAGCACTCCGCTAGCACCCTCTTTGTACTTTGTTCCTCTTCGGTCTTTAATAAGAGCTGGGGAGCAATGCTCCACGGTCCTTATTTAAAAAAAAAAGGGATGCACACATTTCTTGTCAACTTACAGGTAAGCCACTATTCCATAAAACTGTTTTGAACCTTTATCTATCTGTTTGATTTTTTTTTGGTGAATTTATCCTCTTGTAGATTCCCGGATCAACTCACTATAGCATGGTCATATATGTATTTCGTCACAAGTTCCTTGAAAAAGGGATCATTACTGCAGCGCTTCTTTGATGGCGATGATGACTTCCGCAACAGCAGACTGAAGCTCATACCATCCGTTCCAAAGGTCTAGTTTATATGATGTTACAATAGTTTTTTGTCCGTCACTTCACTTTGACTTAAAAAAATAAAACCTCAAGGCTCTTGGATAGTGCGGCAAAGTGTTGGCAGCACCCCTTGCTTGTTGCGAAAGCCTATGGATTGTAGCTACGTACGAAGTCCTGGGTATTTGGACGTGAGGCCAATAATGTTGCGCTGGAAATATTTCTAACACATCCCTTATGATTTCATCCTTGTATTGTGTAAAAAAAGATTTATCTTGAGATGATATGTTTTGGCTATACAATTTGACTGGTTGTTACAATTAGTGCCAGATAGAAGTGAAAAAGTCTAATTCTGCTGTCCACATGGCTTGTAATAGGACCTTTTTCTCTACTTATTAATACAATGATGTGCACTTATCCAGCATGTTTGAGAATGGAAAAGTGAAAAATTTCATTTGTGAATAAGGCAATGCATCTGAGCCTGTAGTGTTCTGCAGGTGGACGTTGACACTGGTTCTTCTGCAGTAGCAAACAGAGTTTTGGGCTTGATGTTTGGTGTTGTCACAACATTAGTAGTTGATATGGCTTTCCTAATACAGGTTGGTGCCTCTTTTCTACATTAACAGACTCTTTTTTAAGTGACCTTGACAGTTTCCGTTTCTTTAAAAACTGCAAATTCAGTTCAGTCTTGCTAAGAATGGCCCATTAGTATACTCTATCTGGGATTAAAATAAATGTCTCCATCTCTACCAATGAACCAGGAGGTTTTCTCCTATCGATGTATATGCGGACCTCACTTTTGGCTGTTAATTTTATATTACCTGTGTACTTTCCGGCAAACACATATGAGGAGCTCCCAGAGTAAGTTATAGGCACTGCTCGGCTATCTAATGTGGAACCGTCTGCAACAGTAGTTCCTGACCTTGACATAACAGTGACAGCAACAAAGAAAACAGCAGTAACGATGCTACTTCCTCGGAGGATGATTCGTCAAAGAAGACCAACTAATACGACCTTTAACAATTTCTCTTTTGTATGCATGTAGCATGACAGTGGAATGGAAACACCAAACCCATCCAATAGGTAATTCAATTACAACTGGTGTTGGTTTTGTTGGATTCAAGGTGGTGTTTACATAGCAAGAATCTAGGATCATCTATTACTGATGGAAGTTTACCGCAATAAATCCAAGTAGCAATATTGCCTTCTTTAACATAAGCTTGACTTAGAGGAAATAAATTTAGAATGTCAAAGGTTTAAGAACCAATGATCTGTTTGTTGAACAAAAAGAGTTTTTATGCAATATTCACACTTGACAAGAGATATGGGATGCCTAGACCGTTAATTTGGCCCGCTCTCGAAGAACAGGAATTGATGTATTTATTTAATTGTTAAATACTATGAATAAATATCAAATAAGTTTTTTAGCCTCTTGAATTTCCTTGCTAAAGTTTGTCACTAATTCTGTTTACTGGCTGTTTAGATAAAATTTCTTTTATAGTGAAAAAATTCAATAAATGTGTGTATATAATCCGTCTACTTTAAATACAGTTTTATGATACACGTGCGTGTCACACGCGCATGTCCACTAGTTTCACCAAAAAGAGGCAACAAAAGAGGGATTTTGGGGCTTGGAACAAGAAAGATAGGTGCTGAGCTTCAAGCCATGGTTTAGATATGTTCCAAGGATCCCAAAGACTTAATGATCAGCCAAACAAGCAGCACGGAAATCACCCAAAAATGACTACAAAAATCACCGAAAAAAAGAAATTTCAGATTTGGGAGAGGATAAGAAGTGAAGCACGAACTTGATCTCCTAATTACATCACCATGTCAAATTACAAGCCACTCCTAGCAAATCTCTGAAAGCTTGGATAACCAAAAGCTTAATCAAAGAACTACTCTCTCCCTCTCTTTCTAGCCCTAACCAAAAGCTCTCGACCTAACAAATGAGAGGCTAATCCCCAAGACATAATGTCCACCACCAGCCATATCCCATATATATATAGGCACTTGCCTATTTCCCAAGTTCCCTTACATGAAGTATTTAGCCCAAATACCCTCTAGGGGTAAATCCATCCAATGTTTCAATAGTTTGACTAAGAACATAATAAGAAACTGTACTCATACTTTTTGGATAGAGGTGGCACTCAGTAACATTTAATTCAAAGGCCAATTTGTATAATATCCTTATTGATGAATATCTTTGTTAACATTCTACTACCATAATTATTAAGGCCTGTTAGGTGGAGCTTTGCCCGGTCCCCACTCTAGCTCCTTCATGGATTTTTGAAAGGATTCATTTTTATTTCTCTTCTCAAAATAAACTAGGAGCTAACGAAGCCACTATTTTTGACTTTATCGGCTCTGGCTCCTCTATGCATTGTAGCAATAATCTAAAGCCATAACAAATGGAGCCTAAAAATATAGAACGGTTTATGGACTGTCCAGTTTTTCATCACTCGTAGCTATAGAATTTGAACAAGCCACTTCGCTGGTTCTAGAGTATTTATGCAGAAGCATTAAGTCTCTTAAAAAAGTATAGTGAGGTTTCCTCAAAGAAAGTGTGGATTGCAATTGTTTCCTATGTAAGGTGCGGTGGCGTCTTGGTGCATGAGTTTATTACCGTAGAGGAAAGCAATTTTTTGAGAGACTTGGACCTGAACGTAGAGAACAGGTGTTTGTAATTGAACCGCCAATGGTACGACCATGTTTGAATTGGTATACTATACCTACATCCAGAAAAAGGCACAATTTTAGTTCTGTCTTTGGTGAAGATATGTAAAGTTTATCAAATTCATAAAAAGGATTATCAACATTTATTACACTAAAATAGATATGGTATGGGAATATATTTCATGACAAATCTAGTCAAAAATTGATATATATTAGAATGAGCTGTTACAAGTATTCTTGAAACGTAGGGAGTACCGAAAGCAACTGCAGGCTAAATCAAAGCCGATTTGTGCTGTCAGTGTCCGTGGGCAGATGTTTGCAACGTGTCTCAGTCAGTAGTATTATTGTATTGTTATCTTCCAGCGACCTGAATCACAGTTCAGTCCAATCGCAATTATTGCCTTGTTTAGTTTTATCTTCCAGCGACCTGAATCACAGTTCAGAGGTTGTTTACAATCGCAATTCACTTTGATTATTCATCCGGTTGCAAAAGTTGCAAACT